TTTTCTTTTTAATCCGATCGCACTCCTCTATCATACGACCGTCAAATATATTGCGAATTCAATTGGCACAAAAACTATTCGCAGCTTTCCAAATAATTCTGTTTAAAAAAAATGCAATACGTCACATCATTCGGTTGATGATTCTTTTATAAATGTGGAAAACTAATTTTCTCTTAAAGTGTTAACTGTTAACGTGTTTTTGAAAACATTTCGAACTATATATATAATTTAAAAATTGAATACTACGAACACTTAGAAATCATACAAAAACATATCCAATAATGTTAATACACTTTCCTAGATACTGAAAATTGTCTGATAAAAGAATTACGCACATGTGTTATTATAATACTTGTTCATAATGTGATGGTTTTTATTTTTCTGTACATCAAAAAAACATAATAGTTCTTACTCATATATCTACCATTATGACATTATTTGATTTATAAAATATTAAAAACTTACTTCTGTATCCCTTAATTTAGATGATTATTGTCAGGAAAACTTTAAATAATAAAAAACATTTTAAAAAAAATTACAATACTTATATTATATAAGTGGTAAAAATTACTGAAAAATTCAAATAAACAAACGAAAACTGTTAACACAATACAATGAATAATAATTATATTACAATAATTACCTCCAACTATTTACTTATTTTAGTGTTTAATATTATTTATTTATATTATTTTAATGTGCCATACTCAGTGGTCTCAAATTAATTCGGATGAAGGAAAAAAATAGGTGCAATAAAACTAATTGCTGAAGACATACATAGAATATCTATGAATCAAGGGTGTATAGTCTGTTTAATGTCTATTATATAACCATTGATATCAACTATTAGTGTCCAGACAACCATCATGTATATCGTAAAATTAATAATTATTTATAATGGCAAGGAATTACGAAATTTATATCATGATGCATTAATCGTAGTCGGGTATTACCGATCGGCAGAGATTTTAACAGCCACTCGACTAACTATTTGATCTTATAGGTAGCGCTATGATATCGTTTTAGGCGATTTGTGGCGGAAAGGAAAAATTCACAAGTTTTGAAATTGTCTCACTATCACTGCTTGTTCGCAAATCATTGCGGTAGCCTAAGGGGTTMCCAACTAAGGTGCCGAGAAATTAAATTGAGGATGCCGCAAAATTATTAGTATACTATATTGAGTATACAGTAATTTATTATAGAGTGTAGGTCATAGAGTGCCTCTGGATTTGTAGGACACAACTAAGGGTACCGTGAGTCAAAAAACGTTAGGAACCACTGCCGTAGTCAAAAGGAGCATGAGTTTCCCAAAAATTATCTAAATGGTTTTGCGCCTTATTATCCGTAGAAAAATTGAAATAATTAGTAATAAAATTATAAAATAATAATAATAATAAAACGATCACTCTTCAACCCCAAAAAAAATCAATTTCAGGCATCAGGTCCTGTCTCCAGTGATTGTCACTCGAATTCACCTCTCAATGCACAATTTATAAATATAATACCTAATAAACGTTCAGGATTTTTTGAATTTGCTTGTCTTTTGTGGTGACTGTAGACTATTCTAGGTAACATGTAATTTTGTATTGTGCAATGCTGAAATTAAATACAAAATGTGACTGCATATTTTTGCGCATTTCATTATAATTTACAAAAATGGCATGATGCGAAAATTTATGAATTTTTAATTTTCCACTAATAATAGCGTACATCACACAGTTTTGAATGAGCGTCTATTGCAAAAAATGTCAAATATAGTCTTCTTATTGTCTTGAGTTATCGCTCTAAATTCTAAAAGGTACTATGTTTTATAATATTTGTTTTAAATGATTTGTTTTTATAACCTCAATTTTTAATCATAACGACTCTTGCTCGTAAATATATATATATTTTTAGCATAAAATACAATTGCGATGGCTAAGATGATGAGTGCACGAGTTGCCATGCGATAACCATAAGTTTTTTAGTAAATTATTTTGTGAACATAATAGACCCACAAGTATTTGCCTGCAATCTATACGCTCATCAAATAGCGCATGCGTGTTGCATGTCACAACAGATCGTCGTGGGTTGTAAAAAGRTAAAAAAAAAAATTATATTAATAATAATATCCACAAAATTCGAAATGCTCGTCCGCAGAAAACCCACTTGTTTAAGGTCATACTTTTTTTTTCAACTCCTACTACAAACTCGTTTTTTTTCACGGCAGTATACGACTGTGTATGTATATATAGTTTTACCGTGAAAAAATATGACCATCTAATCTAAGTACCACGCCACTCTGTATGTCATACACCTTCACGACGATACACGTGAATATTTGCATAATATAATAATTACCTATATTATGTAGATATATATTATTATATCGTCTCATTGTGATAAAACAGTTCCGGGCAGTCAGTAATTATTATTGTCACGGGATGACATTATACAATAAATTATATTTTACGTGCGCATACGAGTATATATTATATATAAAAAAATAGGAAAAAACATAATATGATATGATATTATTATAGCCGATGGACATAAACTACTATAAAACTATAAACTCGCGAAAATCAATAATAATCATGTGCATGCATGATATTTTTCACAGTAAAAAAATCACATTTCACCCACGCTAGATCAATTTTTTGACTCAGMGACAGGTAACACATAGCATTATAGCATATCATTTACAAATTAATTATAATATAATACATACATGATATTCTATACCATACATTATGTGTGTGTGTGGTGATCGTCGCAGTGCAGTTATCATATTCAACACGTGTATAGTCAATGAAAATATATATTATTCTTCGGCCGATGATCGATAACGATGACGATGATCTGTAATCGTCTCGACTCAAGGTTCTTCTAACTGATTATTATTTGAGTAGGTTTGGGCGTATCGCATCATATAACATTATGTATTATTATTGCTATTACTATTACGCGCGCGTACGACGAGGAATTCGTGTTAAAAATAAATTCAACACTGAAACGTACTAACCTAGCGTTCATACTTGCGAGAACATTTTTTTTTTTCACTGTGAMATAACCCTCCTCTCGCCGTACGGGTCGATGACGACGAGGGTAGTCTCGCAAGACGACGGAAAACGGCGACCATTTGTTTTTTTTTTTTTTTGCCGACGAGCATATCGTCGCGTACACGACATTACATACAATATRCTGCCATTTATCATATTATTATTGTTACGTTTATATTATTGTCGTCATTATCGCCATCCTTATAGGAGGCTTCATAATAGTCGGAGCGACCAGAGCACTGGCAGTGTATACTTTATGTATATAATAAACCCTTTTCGGAATTTAGACTCGTCTCTCGTCTTATACAACAACAACGATATTAACGATAAGCTTTAAGATTTTCTACGGTATACACGTGACACGAAATACCACTAACCATACGACACTCTTGTTGTGGCATGACCGGGGAAGGAATTTCGGGCGGGTGGGTTCGTCTCGGGATTGGCCAGATCTCTCGTGGCTGCATTTATCCATAGAATATAATATAATAATATTCTACACGCTGATTTTTTAAATGGCACTTCGACAATAATCCACAGAGCCATTTAATATATTGTATAATTTATATATAGCTTCATTTTGGACAACACCATTTTTAGCGGRAAACTGGACGAAAAAATGCCTAAGGGTCGACCGCAACAATGACGAACGGGGGTAAAGGTAAAGTCAGATGTTGCTGGAGACAGCGAACACGGAGAGATAGGTGTAAAGGAGTGGTTGAGGCAGCAAAGATCCTGCGTGGACTGAAAAACTGGGAAGGAGATGAATAATACAGCTAAAATATTTCCTGTCCCTCYCATCATCATTTTTATTTTAATACTAAACTAACCATGTAATATGTTTTGTCAAGGTATGTTATGTACACTAGTATGCAGTCATTTTCGAGATTTCTAAATTTGAAAGTGAGGAGACTGGTGACATGCTTAGCCCGCTCACCGRAGGAATTTCAAAGCCAAACTTAGGAACACCATTCGTAYACCGTTACAATAAAAACATTTCGATTTTTTCATATTATTGTATATTATTGTTATCATTACTATCGTTAAAACACACATACATAATTATGTAGAAATACAAGACGACTTATATTATAAATATATATTATTATATATAAAATATAGGCGAAAAACATAATAATTATAATTATATATTGCCATGAAAAAATTTGGATTAACATAATATATGCTTAAAAATACTTATACAAACTAAACAATAATAATAATATTATAATTAACTGGTATGTATGCGTATAATAATAATATAATATTGATCGCACATAATCATTGATCGTATAGATTTATATAATATATATATATATATATATATATATATATACGACAACAAGTGTGAGCAACGCAATCGGCGCGTGCGAACTTTATAAGACAGTTATAATAGTTGAATAATAAGCGAATATTAAGATGATAATAATGTATTATTATTATTTTATAAAATACAGTACATCTGTCGCACGCGCCGAACACGCGTAATTATTCGCCATAATAATATAATATAAAATTGAGAGGGAAAAAAGGGCATATTAAATAGGCATATAATGAATAATATATTTATATATTATTATTATAATAATGTCGATAATACTAACAATAATATTATGCGTTAAACCTAAAAAGTCTAATCGTAACGTACCTACATATTATATTATACGAATAGCGCGAGCTTAAAAGATGATATATATATATATATAAAAAAAATAATAATAATAATAAACAACAAAGATAATACATAAATTACTTTTATACGATACGATTTATTTATTTTCATAAAAATTTAATTTAATCTCTTTGTTAGGAATATTAAAAATTGTTTATTTCATTCTATATTATAATATTATTATAATATTATATTGTTCGAAGTATTTTGATYGATTCTACGACTCCCCCACACCAGTCCATGTTTTATTTTTATTTTTATTTAGGTTTTTTTTCTGTTCTCTGTTCGATCTATTTATTTTCACACGGTAAGTTTCAATGAAAAAAAAAAAATCGTATCCTAACTCACCTCTCTCTATACACATCGTCGACGTCGTCGGATGCTGACTGATATACCTAGGTACGACTGAATTTCGCTTTTCTGTTTTTCGCTTTCTACGAACAATAATTATACTACATATATTATTATTATTATCACCGCGATGACGAGGTTTGTTCGACAGTCGGAATAATACGGTGTACACGAAAACTATAACAACAATATACGATATACTTGCAATGTGTGTGTTCAACGACCGTGGGATGATGAACGATCATACACGTCATTGATACACGATTTCCAAAACGATGATATCGACGTGGCGAAGACGATGTTTTAAAGAGATACGATGTATTGAAGTGAAATAATAACTGAAGTATGGTACTGYTGCTATATWTRCGTAAGAAAAAAGCCCGCGCGAATTATTTTATACTATCGTAAAACTTATATGCATAATATTCACATAATTATAAAAAAATTATCATGATAAAATGTGTGTATACACTGTGGTATTACGGATTTCGTCACGTTTCGTATCGGTGACGGACTAATCAAATAAAATCGATAACGAAAAAAAATCACAAAAATACATATACATTCTAAATATTATATATATATAAAAGAAAGAATAGTAAAAAAAAAAAATAATAAAAGCTCGTGAAATCGTTTTCTGATACATTATATGTTATAACAATATATAATACAGATGTACGTATTTACTTATTTATATATATGTAGATATGTATATAATATAATATATATATATACATATATAAATCCATCAGTCGAGAAAACAAACGAAAAGGGATCTACTATATTCTAATATTACAATAATGATAATATATATATATATATATTTTTAATCTTCTTTTCTTTTAAAATAATCTAATATCATTTAAACCATCGTCGATGAGAAAAGCATGAACCAATTTCGGTCGCTCCGTCCTGTTCGAATCGTTAGTCCCATTCGCCGACGTACATTGGAGTCCTGTGTCCCGTCGGTATGTAACCTCTGGTGGGTATGGGCAGCCGTCCGTAGATGTGGTTGTACGGCGAATCGAATACTTCGGCGTCTGCAAAACATTAACAGAAAAAAATGTTTGCGTTTAGTACATCAACATCTGCAATGTCCACGTAAGCTAACATATTATACAATAATGGGAAATATTTCATGAAACCGTTGAAGATATTCCTAGCTATGATATACGCATGATATAGTTTATATAATCTTAGTATATATCTAAATATATCTTATTTAAAATACCCAATAGGCATGCATTATGTATTATAGACACAATTTGAGTCTCGAAATATTACAACGACAAAATCTATGGTGTATAGGATGGTTCTTAAAAAGTTTCATCTTAATATTATTTGCGTCGAAGATATGTCAACTAAATAGTTCAATCACATCTATATAGCTAAAGGACGTAGTCTGATCCAATATCGTCAATACATAACTTATGTCCTAACTAATATAATATTATGTACTATAAAGGATACGATTGTGTATTCGYGAGGCAGAATTTTCATTACACATTTTCAATTAATATTGTAGTATTATAATAAGCAAATAGGACAACTCTTTAAACTCTTTCAGTGTATGATTTCCTTTAATTCTCGCTTTTCATTTTTACAAGAAATTCGGTAAAGATTATAAAAATAATAATTTATATAATACAAATTTGGTTAACACTCAAACTGAAGAATACTGACATAGTTTTATGTTCTTATATTATGTTTGCCACACATGCGTTTCACCGGAATTAATAGAAGTCAGTGGACTAATTATTGTTAATTGGACATTTTGCGACAACACAGTTTAGGCGTCGTCGTCGTCGTGTTATTGGGCATGATTAAACTAAACCGGTTATGAGTAAATATAACATAATAATTTAAAAAATAGTATAATAATCATAAATAATAAAATTGTGCAACGCTCGGAGTCGTATATATAATATATAATATGTATTGTCACCGAGCCGTTACATAGAGTCCACCAATGCAGTCGGAAATAACATAACAATATTTTATGTAGGTAATAAACAATATGATATACATACATATTATATATGTATGAATGTATGTAATCGTCTACCTAAACCTACACCGTTAAGTCCAATGCACTCGTAGAAATCCGTTGGCATCACAATAAGTGTTCTAAGGCTGTCATATCATCTATGATACCTAATATTTTTTCCAGTCGAAAAGCATTGAAATCATCCCTTCCTGCAGCTCTGCAGCTGCAGATATTGTTCTGGAATGGTTTTGGTACTTCAGATAAAGTAAGAACAATTTCGCTGTGTTATCCGAACGAAAAGAGCCGTTACTAAACCTCCGAGCAGTGTGATCGTTTATTGTACTGTATATATACACACAATTACACATATATAAGAACCTATATAATATACGGTTCATAGTTAGTACATTATTGAAATTTGATTAAATCTACGTCGTTTGCAATACCGCGGGGAACGATGATACCTTGGTCACGGTTTTCATCGTGGTGGATTTGACGACGACGATCGAGCTCGCGATAATCGATTGTTCCCAATAGTATAATATAGCCGTTTCCGGTGCAATTAAATTTGAATAACGGGGTCAGGATTCATGTCGAAAGCCGTGACGAAAAATCAGCAAAAACAATCAAMTTTCATCAAATTTTAATAGTCGTATGTGTAACTATATACATAATATTATATTAATATATGAAAACCGGAAGCTGTGTAAAATGCTTTTACGACCCAGATATACTTGGGATTCACATGAGGTTTTAATTCAAGACCTAACCGTTTTAGAAACGATGCATAATGTATAGTGTGATTTGTCCAACCATGCTATAAACATGACCTTAAAATGTAAATAATGCATATAAAAACTCTATCTTTTGACATTTATTAGAAAACTTATGCAATAAAATATAAGTGCCTTGATATTTTACTTTTTTATTTAAGGAGTGTCCTAGCAGAGGCAATAAAATTACGATTTTTTTTCAAATATGAACCCACGTTTGTTACTATCAATATTGTCAAATATATATACAAAATATTATTATTTATTGTTTTGAAAATTTTGAGTATATAAATTGAAATTCAAACGAATTAGTTGTACAGTTTGAAATTGAATAAATTCATTAGATTAAATAATAAATGGGGTTGAGAAARCTTTGTGAGTAATCCTGTGTATAATATAATAATACACTATAATCCTTTTACCACGAAATTTATAGCACTCTCAATGAGGTAATATTATTGTACCATTTACAATATACCTAGATATCAGTTATATAATAAAGTAGACGATAGCAGCGGATTTAGAATGAAATATTATTTTTTTTTTTTATTATTATGGAGCACTTACAACCAACAAACGGAAGTATTAATACGGTAAAATTTATATTTCATATTAAACTAAAAATGTGAAAATTAGTTATAAGCAAATTATTGGTTATTAGTTTTATTCTCTTTTGAACATGAAATCGTGCTGATGGGAATTTTTTCATGTAACGAAATCGAATGAAAAGAGTCATTAGAACGGTAAGTTGTTTTAAATATAATCTCACAAGACGAGGCGTCTATACTGTGCTGTAATTGAAGCGCATAACGTAGTGACAGTAAACTTTGTTGGATATTTCGAAAGTATAATTTTATCTGACCGAAAAAAAATGTGTATAATAATTATATAATTATTCGGAATAAACACGAAACACACAACTTGTTTCATATTATTCTAAACAGCACAGTGTAGGAATATTTTAAAAGCATATTTTCAAAAATTGATATCAAATGGCCATTTTAACGAATCTGATCTATTATAAATGTTTTGATAACGCCAATATTCTATTCATTTTTTTTTTTTTTTTTTTTTTTTTTTTTTTTTTTTTATTATTTTTTATTTTTTAGTTAAGAAATAATTTGATGTATTCAATGTACACATAAATATTAAATTGATAAATTAATCTAAAGTGAATAATTGAAAATGTATAATGTTTTTATTTCCGTTCCGCTGTTTCGTTTCTAATTCTAACTATATTTAACAGAAACGTTTAAACCACCAAACACATTAATTAGGTACTCTAACTATAGAAAACGATCGGGTCTATATTAAAAGGGTGTAGAAAGGGCACTTTCCCTCTGGCGCAAACGAAGGTCCGTAATAAATATAAAAATATTTCTATAATAATATAATCATGGTGTGGTAAACGAACGCAATTATAGAAATAACTGTAAACGGCGTTTATAATAATATGGAAAATTGTCGCCAAAATATTTTACTTAATGCTATTTCATTATTATATCTGTACAGCCAGTTGAAAAATGGTCATAAACATGCAGCCGATGCAATAATTATACAATCGAATGAAACGGAAAATGAATAATATTCGGACTCGTTATCATTATCACCGACCGCATAAAATCGAAAATTGAATAAGAGGTAATGATAAAAATCAGTCTTTCTCTCTTCCCCATTCCGGCACACTTCCCTCCATTTTATTAATATAGTCATGGCCTATCCATTCTTATTAATATCTATGACGACATCGCGAGGAACTTTTGACCGCAGTGCCCCCTTACATGCATGTTATTATACTAATCRATTATATTCGATATGATGAGATATCTAGGTATATCCGAGGCGGTTATAGAATTTATGAAATAATTAATAATTAAAATTAAAAATAACGAAATTCCGCTGTAAAACGCATGATTGCTTACCCATTCCGCTGTCGAAGCTGCGCGTGTGCCACATGGCGGGCTGCGTGTGATGATAGTGTGCGGCGGCCAGGTGACCGTTGGACAGGGCCATCGGATTTTGTTGGTACCGAGATGGCGGCACGGCGGTGCTCATCTTCGGGCCGACGGGCACATCTTTGTTGAACTCCTTGGTCTTGCCGTTTGAAGTCTTGACGAAGTTCGGCACTCTGGCTCTCAGTCCGCAGTAGTACGGGTCGTCTGTAAACCGAAAATAAGTTTTTATTAAACGAAAATAATGCAAAGTGGTGGTAAATCGAGTGAGTATTCATTTTTATTGATGTGTTATTTTTCGATTTAAAACGCGCAGCTGAAAATCGTCGACTTAACGTTAGGTAGATACATAAACATAATATATTGGGCCATTAATATGCGAATATAGCTCAACCGTCACGACAATATTTTATATAGGGCCAGATGCATATGTACGCATATCATAGGACAACAATATTTTTAAAAATTAAAATTGGTTTTTTACTGGCTAAAAATGTTTTTATTAGGTATATCGATCATTTGTCTTCTATAGTAGATCATGATGCCAAAATAGAAACCTGTGATTGTGATAAGATCGTAATAAACTATATTGTATACCACCATATACATCAGACATACTCCAACACTGTACGACCGCCTGTATAATTATTGTCTCGTGCAGTGTCGCGATTAAAGTGAATATTTATAAATACGACGGGCGAGGAGTGCTTAAAACATAATAATAATGAATTGATACTAAATGTCAAGGTACGCAGATGCCATTTCGTTTAGTGAAAGTGCATATACGTCAGCCGGTTCTGCGCACACCGAGCCAGCCTTTCACCTAGCTGGTGCAGTTTTATTTTTTCACAAACGTCTAGAATAACTACGTATAATAACAACGTGTAACCGGTAATCCAATTGGATTATGGTAGTGCCAATCGCCCGTTTTGTATATTATTCACATAGTATAATATTATTGTTATACATTTTTTTAAACATGTTTTATTTGAAATTATACAATCTTCAAAATTATTTCCAGTAAGCACTTGTATGTACGAATTATAAAATAATGTTCATAACACGAATGACTATTTGAGAAATCACCCAGCTGTAACACATGAATCTTGAATTTTATTTTGAGTTTACATAGGTATAATTTGTGTACACTTATAAGTCTGCTCTTACACAGGTTTCTCTCAAACCTTGTTCTAAGAAGACCTCTATGTAGTGATATAGTGATGAAAAGAAAAGCGATTTGGGTGATTTTTAATTTGGGAGAGAAATAGTTTGTATGGATTGCAAATACTGCTATTTCTGAGATGGTTAGAGTTCTTAGGACTGAGTGTAAAGTATATGAGTTGAGACATAATATTATAGAGGTAGCCAATTTTCTTTTCTCTGTACCTACACCTAATGAAATCGATTGGAAAGTTTATATTTTTGTATAACATAATTATTAAATTTTAATCAAGCCCCTTCATGAAAATCGTATGGAAATATGAAGATACAACGTAGTGTATCATTGTAATAGTTACGGTATCGTCATTTAAATTTTGAATTAAAAAAATGTATAAAGGCGAACGGACGTTGGAAAAAATGTAATAGTCAATCTCTCGGTATAAACTTCGCAAGTCGTGACGAAATCAAATCGGTTTGTTCAATATTACCAGGTTATATTAAGTATAGTTGGTAGGTACATTTTGATGGGGAAAAATATAGCAGCTTGTATAATACTGAACACTCTTAAAAATCCAAAAAATAGCATTATAACACAAGTCTCAGCTATTTCACTGTATAAATACAATATAGATAAGTTTGAATCTACGGTGGATCCACAGGTAATATTATTTAACATCGATATCATATAATTGTTGAGCTGTAATAGTTAAACTGAAAGCTAAWAAAAAAAAAAAAAAAATATCGACTCTTCGTATATTGTTTTTTTATAAATCATACAAAGTGATCGACCATGCATGCTTACAATCATTTAGTTAGGTACCTATATATATGCATTTGTTTAAATTCTGGATTTTGAAATTGTTAAGGTTTTCGGATTGGTGAAAAAAGAAGGTTCGTTCAAAATGTTTGTCTTAAAAATACCAGGATTAAAAAATTAAATTAAAGATGAAATTATTGGGGTGTAGCATGCTCGGTGGATCACTCTGTACATATAGATCGTTTGCGAGAGGAGCAGTCGAGCGTCTGGCGTGGCAGACGGATATGCGACAGCTGCTGATATCGCATTTAATAATATAGATACCTACATATATTTTAATAATATAATGACGATGCCCACCATGATGACACGACGTATACTAACTGCCTCGTTGCAATTTTTACGTTGAATTAGGTAATCTCGACGAAACGGAATAAAAAGAATATGAAAACCGGGCAAGGCCATCGCCGGATGCAAAGAAATGATAATTATTATTACACAGACGCATTATRATGGGTAATAATAACGATACATTATTAGTTTTGTCTTTTGAAATCATTCAGAAAGCGGTGCTGCGCCGGAGTGACTCTGCCGAGAAACATCGAAAAGTTTTTGCTTATAGCAATAATAGTAAAAACAATTATAAATATAATAATATCAATRACCTCGCGGGATGGGAGATATTCACGATTTATTTTCATTACTCTTGTATTTTACACGACCATTTTTTTTTATTCGGAGCACGAAATTTGTTTGCGTTATTTATGTTTCTTATTATTAACGTGGAAACCGTCTTCATTTTATTTAGGTCACACATATGTTATGTTATACAACTGAAACACCGATAGTAAAATTAACCTTTTCAAAACCGTCGATATATGAATGAGCCAAAATATTATATCAAGATAAATGTAATTGCCTTTAAGAAAAAATAATTGTTACTCATTGTAATGTTACCATAACGTTAGCTAAATAATATTTATATAAATTTAGGCAAACCAASAAAACTTTTAAGCCTTTTTGTTAATAAAATAAAATAATATTATATTAATGTGTGTTGAATACATTAACTTAATTTTCTAATTACGCATATTATATACTATAATTATGCATAAAAAATGTATAATGTGCATAGCAGATTGATTCCTTTCCCGAACGATTGCACTGGGGTAAAATCGGTTCTGGGACACGGGACTAAATTTATTATTATACCTATATTATAGTATTTATATAATATTACAATAACAATATACGAGTAGTCTTACCGATCGTATGCCCATGGTGAGCGGAAAAATACGTCTGCGGGCAAACGCTAGCGTACGTATTTATTTTTTTAATGGCAGATAATGCCATTATATTATAATGTTATTTAATATTGGCGCAAGAAGGGACGTCGTCGTCGTATTAAATAATACGTATGACGAAATAAGCGTACGTGTGTATGTATGTATTTACCGTATTTTTTATTGTTGTCCTTGACTTTGTCCTTTCCCCTCGACGAGGTGAACTGCTTCATGGAGCCGACCAATCTGTTTTCTTCTTCTTCGATGTCATCGTAATCGGGCTGCAATTACCAGAAAAAAAATGTAAGTAGTTTAGACTTTTAGAGAAACACTTCCGACAAATCTACACTTGCACGCGAAATCTGGCGAGACGTAAAACTGTCAGAACGTATTATATGCATTTAGCGATATATATACTCGGAAAACGAAAATACCGTATACATCATTAAACGCGTTGACTATATTATATCATATGATTTATCGTTTTACATCGTATGTTATGTATAATATTTTATTATAATCTCACATTTATATCATATATTATATAGCGCTTATACCTACTATCAAATTTGAGTATAYCGCCTCAACAGRACATTCAATTCTCACATCGTTGAAATCTTAAATATATTTCAGCTAATGTGGTAAGTGGTATATCTATTATTAATCGAAGGAGATTCATAATATATACCAACTTCGGACTTATAGAAATATATATATATTCAAAACGATCATGGCGCTGTGGAGGTATCTACATAGCACCACAATTGTCTTTGAAATTAAAAGTTTGTTGGTTACTCAGTATTCTTAAAAGTATAATTCTTTAGAAAGGGTATATTATTTTCTACTTACAATTTGGACATATTATGTTGTTTATGTATGTATGTGGTTGAGGGCCCAGTGAACCCAAGTTATGGACTAAACAAATATAGTATAWGTGACATCTATGTGCATTCTTTATTATTTTACACATTCTATTACACTAAGACTTCGACTTCAAAGAGCTTCTCAAACCTGACCAGATTTTTTTCTCCAAAATATCACTAAACCATTCCCCATCACCTAACCACCAGCTCAAAAACTGTGATGAAATATTACAATGCTATATAAACTTGATGTTTAAAAATACCTACACAGTACACATCGTGCTAAAATACAGTTGAAAACCCAACACAAAAATATTGATAGAATATTACTATTATTATTACAACGAATAACACGGATAAAAGCGTTTTATTGCTTGTGGATATAATAATCTAAAAATCTGAAAAGCATCACTTATAACGACTTTAGTATTCGTTCAACCGGATTGCAGATACGCGTATTACATGAAAATATTAAGTATTTTGTATTCATTTTACCTTGGGTATTTCGTGCGGGTACGGGTTCGACGGGTCCCTTGGAGGCAGCTTCGGCGGCTTGTCACCACGACGCGCCGCGGTCTGCATCATCAGTTGTTCCCGAGTGGCGGCCACCATGTTTGCTCCCGCTATGCTGTACGGGTCCTCATCTGGAATCGGGATCCTTGGCCGATTCTTGATGTCCACGGTAGTGCGTTTCACTGCGTAAACAACRATGAACACAACGATTAAAAACTATCGGATGACACAAAATTATAATAATACGTAATGCAGTTATGTGATATAGGTTTTATTTACCATAAAAATAGCAACTAATAATAAAATCCATTGAACAATGAGACAACTCAAAATCATGGGGAGTGAGATACCCCAAAATGATAAATCACTAGCAATAATTTRAATATTTCAATGATTTCATTTCGAGAAGTGGGGTAGTAATAATATTATATGTATAGATAACGTTCCTCCCTCGTTCTAGCGTTTAACGTTGTGTTCTCTTCCACGATTTATAAAATAAAAACCTATTCGTTGTGCAGAATTGAGACTAACACTGCAGGAGTACCCCATATACCTACCTATATTATATATTATAATATTAACCAAACTCTCCGAGTGTGTTTATCTTAACCTCGTGACGTTCTAAATACGAAATACGATTATATCTTATATCATATTGTTTTATTCCGTATACGAACATTGTACGATCGATTTACTCTATAAAATAATAATATAATATAGCAGACACCGATGCAGCCTGAGTACATGCTATTATTATTATTATTATTATTACGCGGTGTCCGGTTAGACTTGACCGTTTTGAACCATAAACCGATGGAAATCGACACCGAGTTACAATAATAGATATATGCACATAACAAACGAACGCGTATCCCTTTTTAAGAGTRTTTTAACCCCGGGTCCGCATTCCCGTCGGCAACCCGATTTTCCCCTCCTGCCACCGCGATAACCACAACACAAACACACATAATATATGATATAATTTCATTGAGTGTGTGTTTGTGTGTGCGTTTCTCTCTCTTTCTCTTTCTCTCTCCATCTCAACTCTATCTCTTAGCTTGACTCTTTGTCCGCGTGTCTCATTCGACCAAGAGGAATAATAATAAAATAAGTCATGACTGCGATACTCATCATCATCTGCAGTGGTTAACGGTTGTGCTATTTACATGTGTATTATCATTTATAGTATATGTTATACTCTTAAGTGGTGCGCCATCGACAACGGGACACTGCACCGAAACGGATTAATCACGGCGACGACGGACGGACGGACGGACTGTGCGCCAATTAAAAGTTCACTGCCGCCGAGAAAAAAAAATGGCAAAAACTGCACTTGACGAGATATCGCAAGCGCGGACACGACGACGACGACGACGACGTAATAATAATATATTACACGAACGACGAGCKATCGGGCTCAGTCGACCACCCACGCCGAGCGGGACATGATCTATACAAATATAGGACGATGTTTTCCCCTCTGCCGCGAACAATCGGATAGCGTACCGAGCAAAGTCGTGTGGAATATCCATCCGCTTACCCGCTCGAAAAATTCCCTTGATCTCGGGTGCAGCAGAGTATATTACAAAATTTTTGACTTTTTTGAAAAAACGCATTCAATATTCTATCGTCACATTATAATACGATAATATTATAGGTAGGTACTTCAGGAGTGCGGTTCCCATTCGGAAATCGATGGATCCGTGAAACATTTTTATTTCTTGTCACTTAAAAGTAAAAACAATAATGCGCACTTTCGGTATTTGATGGAGCGAAATGATAATATTAAAGTAACGAAACAGAAATCTTGACACAATTATATCTATACTATATAATTTGCGAACAAGTATAATAATCCCAAAGACCGGAAAAAAGTTTATGGATATGTTTTTGTGTCAAAAAAGTAACTCACAACTCTCATATATGTTAAATGTACACTATATATATATGTAAATACGCATGTATAAACTTTAAAACTTATAAACGTACGACATGAGTATATAACGCGTAAACTTCTCGAGACCTGTTGCTGCAGCAGGTAACACTATAATAATATATATATAATACACCGATGACCGACCGCAAAACTACATTCCCGTTCGATCGTTAAACTAACGTATACTGTATAACGTTATATAACACAACGATTGAACTCTTCATTATTTTATCATCGATTAAACGGTATAATAATGAAACTTACTTAATATATATAAGTATATGTATATTGTATATATGAAACCACGACAGTAATAATTGTGAACCGAAACTCGGCGCACAAAATCCAACGTTATAGTTTTATTTTCTTTCGTTATAATAATATAATATAGAGGTATAGTGGTACATATTTATAATATTTCCTAACCTCGAGAGATCGCATCTACGAGGTCTAATGAATAAGTATAATATTTAATAGTAGGTATCATGTCGATCGTGATGACATTTTTGTCCGAATTAAGGAACTCGATGAAAATAATAAAAACCGTTTTGCCATCGATCCGTGAACTCGCGAAACATACGATGTATAAACGTTACATTTAATCGGTCGAGGCTACGCACAAACATTCGAAAATTTAACGATAATTTAAAAAAGCCCCGAGACGTACATAATATAAAATTATTATACGATACGATTTATTACCGTGTATGGCGCGTGCAGTCACGAATTTAGAAGAATTGAATAACGCGCACTGATGCAGCGAGTGGGCGCCGAACACGCACAACTATATAATATAGTGTAATAATAATATCATTATGTTTTATATATATATATATATTTGATAACCCTATTCAAAATGGATAGCTTGTTGTATACACTTTCAAAGGGAGCTAAAATCTACATAGGTACCTATTTAATAGGATTTTAAAATAAAAAAAAAGAACCTTCGCATCCCTATATAAGCTATAGAACACGTATTCATTTCTCCCTCTCTCTCTCCTTCGGTTTTCGACTACGTGATGTTAATTTAAAATGTTAAAACCTAATTTTTTTAATAATCTTAGGTAACATAACATCGTAAGAACTCGAAACTCGAAAAGATCTCACACATCCATTACGAATAGCTGTCATCTAAAATGTGTTGGTAATATCTTCAATAAAGGTATATAAGTATAAATGTTATTATAGAGAGTATTACAGTTTAAATTTAAAGCTGTAARCGATTTTATATATAAACGAAAATGGCATCAAGTATTCGCCATCTAATATTGCTTATATACCATCGACATAGCCTAAACACGTTGTCGTTTCGGGTAAAGATAACTGCACGGGATGATTGCAAAAACTCGATATACGAGTGTTCCTTTTACGTATCTATAATATATAATACACATATTATATCACATTATTATAAAAGGTATAAGATTGTGCAACGATTATCACAAGTCCATCGATATTGTCATGCGGAGATATATATATAATACACGCGCTTGTGTAGTGTATTTGCGCGCCAAATGCAATGATGAACTTTGATACGATTTTCTCGAATCATTTCGGTTCAGCGACCCGAATCGCTACAGATAAATGTATTGATATAAATTATAATATATAATGGCAATAATACACCGGAGGACCGTCGAACGAATCAAACCGCGGTGGGAACCCGAGCCTCCGGGGCTGTATAGGACTAATCAAATCGCGGTCCTGTGACCAATCAAAAGAAATCGGGACCGCGTGTCCATTGTTTGCGACTATTATTGCCTGTCTGCGGGCGCGCACATTCATTTCACGCATCGCGCTACTGTAGGTGTTATCTATACCTACTGCAGTATCCGCGGCCTTTTTGATTTTATTTTATTTTTTTGCCAAGTCAATGGCGAGTACGTGCGCGTATAATTAATAGATACGTCGTTATAAGTGTTATACCACAAGTATATATGATGATTTAGTTAACGACAATGACTGGGAACGAACGCCCTTGGGTATTAGCCAGGAAATTTAGTCGAAGCTCGAAATTAGCTGCTGATGTAAGGGCGGATATTTTAATAACAAAAAAAAATTTCTCATGTGTTAGAAATGTCGTGTCAGTGGTATAAATCCTAAGTTTAGTGGTTAAGGATAACAAAAACGTCGTTAAGTTGAAACCATACAATTCCAATTAGAAAACTATATAACGCTGCTGATGGGGCTTGAACAAAGGGATATATTTATTCGGTTAGTCTCATATATATGTCCATGTGGATTCCACAATATTATCAATAACTTCTGCTCCTCTAGTTACTAATAACTATTCAATAATCTACARTCTACAAAATATTCTATATTTTTAATTCGTTTTTCCACCTAAGATCGTATGAAACAACAACTTGATTCTTAAATGGCTATGACAAATCATGAGAACGCCTAACACCAACAACCTAATCGAATTTCATAATTCTTATTATTTTGAAAAATCGCTAAATGTTTTATCCGGGTAATGTAATATTTTTCAACATTTAAGCCTTTGACAGTAATATATATATATACACATCTCCAAAAACTCATAGATATCAATGTAATATTATAATATACAAATTACATTTGTATAATATTATATATAGTAATAATTGTTAACGCGTGTGCCGTGTATTACCGGTACCGTACTCGTGACATTTTCCGGAGACTTAAACGAATGTCAACGCATTGCAAAACAGAAAAATTCTGTGAGTACTTAATATATCAATCTTATTATCGAGTACGGTGTGTTGAAATTCGATTGTTTAATATTTATTGCAAGTATCCGTAGTAATAATACGTGGTTAAAGACTCCATTTAATAAAATTATCTCTTGTTGATATCAAAAACGATAATATAATAATGATACCCCTACTGCAGTGAGAATGGTTAATATAGTAATTAGAATAAAAATAAAAAAACTAATAAAATAATATTTTAAAACAATGGCATTCCCCTCCCTTCAGCCCTCATACTCTATACATATATACCTAAACGCACTAACAAATGAAAATTGAAAGTGGACAGTAAACACAGGTCAACACCATAGTTACAAATTAATTATAATCATCACCCAACATTGGGTGATGCTTGAGTGAGAAAAACATATTTCGACGAAAAAGCACTTACTTGGTGGCAATTTTGACTTGAGCATATCCATGGCTACGACGTTTATGATTAATACCCATATAGGACTGTCCAACATGTCCTGTTCGTTTTTGACAAAGCTTATAGCACTCAAACACTGACATTCCAGACGCCTGCGGTCAGGGTACGCTCTGCGYAATTCTCTGGACACGTTCTGTTGGAATTTTTTCATGTCAAATAACTGAAATAGAAAAAAAACAAATGATCGTTATTTTTATTAACACCCGGAGATCAAAAGAATTATAAAYTATTCGCTGCGGAGAGAAGTTTTATAGAAATTTTGGAAATCGCATAATACTATATATCATATTGTTTGCACACCAATTATGGAAAATATTTCAAAATAATTTCAGTTAGTATTATACCCATAATGTTTTTCACACACTGACAGTAATGTCAAATATAGTTTGTTATTACACGTTTTACGCTAACGATTTCTTATGCTATAATAATGTAGTCGATCTAGTTTTAAGTGACATATATATTTCTCTTTTGTCGGAAATGAGCAATTATCGGTGAAAAAAACAGCAAATAATAGGTACTTACATTAAAAAAAATATTTTACTCTCGACTAAAATTGGAAACACAATATTGGGAAATTTTTCGACGACCGTCCGTCACAATATTCTATTACGAAAAGCACCAATATTATATTTTATGTATACACAAACGAAACGTGCGGCCCGCACTGTCGGTGTTTCCCGGTCAACTGTCAACC